AAAAACTAAAAGAAAAATTATTTTTTTTTAATATAAAGAAATTATAAAGATTAGTTAAAATTTGAATGATTTTTATTAGAAACAATTATAAATTTTCATATTAATATATCAATCTTTTTGCAATGATCTATATTAATCTTTTAATAATAATAATTAATATTTTAAATTTAATATTGCTTATCTTCTTATATTTTTGAAATTAATATATTTAAATAAGTGTTATTTTTATTAATATATTAATTCATTAATAAGTTCTATTAATTCAAAATATATTAGTATTAATGTGTATTTATTTTCATCAAGTTATAATATACTTTGTAATACTTGATAAACTAGTAATTTATTTATTACTTTTGAATTAATTATAACATACTAATATCTTATAATTCTATTTTTCAATGAATTCATTTTTTTATTATTAGCAGATTTTTCACTTGTGAACTTGCAATAAAGATAAATTGAAAGTTATCATTTGAGTCTCTAGATTTTACTTGAAAAATGATAAATGATATTAATAGAGAAAATAATGAATAAAGAAAAATAAATATGTATGTATATTAAATGTTAAGGTATTTAGAAAAATAAAAATAAAAGTAAAAATATAAATATAAATATAAATAAATAAAGAGTAAATTATAATAAGCTAATTCGATAAAAATGTTAGCTGAAAAAAGCAAAAAAGAACAGTTTTACTAATGTCCCGAGTAAAATGTTGGACTAATAATAGTGTGACGCCAACACAGTCACCCGACCTATCGAAAATTTGTGGATACTCGTGTGATGTTATACGAAGTGGTGATTATTATTTGTTTTTTTTTAAGTAAAACGAGGATTTAAATTTTTCGCGGAAAAACAGCAAAGTAACGTAGCGCACCACAACTTTTGTATAAGTTGTGTAATTGTAAAAAAGTGAATGTATAAATTGTTCATACTTAATAAATATATAATGATGCGGGGCACTGTATGATTCAATCGGATTAAAACTTTAACCGGATAACACATATTACTATATAGTGGGCTTATGCTAAAGAAAATTTGATTGATCATGGCAAAAGAAAACGCCGGGGTATAATTATATAAAGAAAAATGTGTCGCCTAAGGGTTAAAGTTCACCTGGGCATAATTTCAACCGGATATAATATAACCCGGTTATAACAAACGAGATTAAAATGGTCAAGAATAAATAGATAACAATGAAGCGTCATGCATTTTGTTCAACTTTGTTTTTTCCTGATCAGATACTGGTTATTGAAGAATACTTGAATTGCTTTTTCTTTTTCAACAATGGTTACTTCTTTTAGTAATAAACGAAAAATCAAATGGTTTAAACCTAAAGAAGCAACGATTATAAATTTAGTTTAACGTAGTCTGGTTATCTCAATCAAAAGGAGGGTATATGTTTTGTTTTTAATTTCGACCTTGTTTGAAAACCCCCGACCTTTTTACTTTTTTTTACGTGTCGATGTGAATTGTAGAGTATACACGCTTCTTTCTTCTTTCATATAATAAACACTTTACTTGTCCTCTCTCTCGAATATCGTTTCCTATAAAGTAGTGTAATAGAGTTTAAATTAACATGAATTCAACTAATATACCAGTGGGTGGGTCGCAAACACCAATTCTACATCCAACGCCAATAATTCCCTTCATTTCAGACAAGCAACTTTCTCTCCTACTTCCATTGGTTATTTATTGGGTTTATTCCGGATTTTTTCACTTAATTTCTGTATATAAAGTATCCTATTTCGAAAAATATCGTATTCACTATGCATATGAAGCGGAGACAAAGAATAAAGTTTCGATGAGTGAAGTGATAAAAGGAGTGCTTATACAACAATTTCTACAGACACTTTTGGGTTTACTTGTGGTGGTAGCAGAAGACGAAGATGTATTGGTCGATGATGCATACGAATTGAAAATTTATCACCAGAATTTCAATACGCTAGCGAGTCAATTTGGATTGAATCGCCAATTGGCACCGTTTCAACATATGATTGTGTCTTCGGCGTATTGGTATATTATTCCAACAATGAAATTTGCAATTGCAATGTAAGTAATTTATAATTTATACGGATTCTTTGTCATTCAGAAGATAATTAAATTGTAACTTTTAACTTTATGAATATTTATTTAGGTTAATTTTCGATACCTGGCAATATTTTATCCACCGTTTATTCCATCAAAATAGTTTTCTGTATCGACATATTCATTCACGTCATCATCTTCTATATGTTCCTTATGCTTTTGGAGCCCTTTACAATCATCCAGTTGAAGGATTTGTGTTGGATTCAGTTGGTGCTTCTATCGCCTTTAAATTATCTGGTCTGACAACGCGAGGCGGCATGTTGTTTTTTTCGTTTGCTACACTTAAAACTGGTAATTGATCTCTTTAATGCTTGTTATTAAAAATATTTGTATATATCTTAATTTTATTTTTATTTATAGTTGATGATCATTGTGGCTACGATTTGCCTTTTGATCCAATTCAAATTATTTTCGGGAATAACTCTGCATAGTATGAATCTTTAATTATTTTTTTTATCATTTTTTATGCTTTTTAACTTTTAATATTTATTAACATTGTATATTGATATTACCAAGTCATGATATTCATCATCAAAATTACGGAATAAAGATGAATTTTTCGCAGCCATTTTTCACGATTTGGGATCGAATTCTAGGCACTTACATGGCACATCCTCCGACAGACAAAAAAAAATTGTCAAGTGAAAATCAAGATAATGACAATAAAGTAGAAACAAAAACGAATAATACTATAAATTTCAACCATATATCGTCAAAGGTCAATGATAATGGCAATCGATGCATAGAACAAGATAACGATGATCATATTCGATCGAGAGACAAAGTGGAATCAAATAATCGGGGAAATTCATTTAGATATAATCTAAGACAGAGAAAGTACTGAAAAAAGAATCGAACCATAAACGAAGAATGGTTGAAACGAGTTACCCAATTGCATATCTACTCTTTTCTATATTTTTTTCTGGCTTAATTTTTATATTACAATTATAGATATTAATAATAATACCTTTCTTTTTTAATCATTGATTTTTTCCCCACTCCCAACTACTAGAATTTATTTAAAAGGGCGAACTATTTTACTTTATTTATAATCAAATAGAAATTGAAGAAACGATAATACAAAAAAAAGAGTAATAATTATATAATCTTTATTTCAAGGTTGATTGACAATTTCCGGCATAAGTATATCCAATGACTTAACCTAGCAATACATTGCGGGATCCATCCTCAGAAATTGTGAAATAAAAATTTAGGAAAAAATATTTTCCAGATCTAAAATCATTACCCACCCATAAATCAATGTTTATCTGATAAAACCACAAAAATCTTTTTTGAGTTTAGTGTCCGTAAAACAAATAACGAACGAGTACATTATTTAAAAATGTGAAATTCAAAAAAAAGAAAACTGAAATTGTTTCAAAATTTAAAACCATCGAAATTATAATAGGAATCTTTAATTGAAGAGAAAAGGAGGGGAGGGGAGGGGGGTTGTGTGTTAATTAAGATATATATATACGTACGTGGCGTATCAAACGCAAATGATAGAAATTACGTACGACCACATGGAAATATATACAATTAGGGTCGGAATACAAGTAGTTCATAATCGATCCATCCATCCACCCAGTCATCATCAAAGAAACTGTCTCGATTAATTGTGTTGATTAACAAATGCATTTTTAATTTCGATCGAAAAAAAAAGATATTTCACGAATCTCAAAAAAAGAATAAATAAAATAAATAGCACACCCGCTAATTAATTGACTGAATCTCTTGCCAAACCCAGCTATTCATTATACCTGCTCATCATAATGATCAAGAGCCAACATAGCACATATTCAATGAATGAATTTCTTTTGCGAGATTCGTCCAACTGATTCCCATTCGGCCGGTCAATTTTTGTTCGTATTGTAGCAATTCGTACATGAATTTGAGATTTGGTTGAATAATAACGTTGAGACGTCTAGCTCGCACATACAGATATGAAGAAACGAGGGGCTTGCCCAGTTGTCTCATGATATATGCAATTGTTATTGTGGCGGACCGTGATACCCCAACACGACAATGGATAAGGACATTGCCATTCGTTTCACGTGCATTTTCTTCAAATTAATAACATAACGAATTTAGCAATGTATATAATCATAATAGGAGTAATCATATGAAATTCACCTATAAAGTTTACACAATTATCCAAATGTTTCCAGAGACTGTCAATTCCATCGTCATACAAATTATCCAGAAACAAAACCTTAAAATCACGTTGATTTAATTTCGAATCTTCTCCTACTGAGAGTACATGCGTAATCCCTAGCGCCGTTAGCATCCCTGCGTTACACGCATGATTTAAATTACCAAGATACAAAAATGGTAAAATTCGACTCGGAAAACTTCCTTCAAAATGAGGGGAAAGAAACCATGAATACGTATTTGTGTCGACTTCTTGCGAGTCAGTTTCTGCTCTTTCTCGAATTTTCTGTTCTATGGCTTGTAAGGTAGGTACGTCATTTTGATACACGAAAAAACTCCGTGTTTCTTGAAGCTTAAGATAAGCAGCAGGAAGCTTTAAATCATCATTGTACATAAGATATGTCAAAGCTAACAATGATGTTTCTGTGTAGCCGTCTATACAATATATGAGAACTTTACGGTCGTATCCATTTGCTTGTTGCGAGATGAATTCACAAAGATCAACCATTTTTGTGGCTATTGCATCCAAAGCTGCTGGCGTATTATAATTCACTCCCGACGATATACAGTCCAGGTGAATTAATTCATTTGCTGAAGAATGTGGTGACGAAGTAGGCGATGAAGGTAACTTATCTAACGCTTCAGCTACATTTATTAAGGCTTCTCGAGTCGGCAATTCTGCCACATCATGAGATTCAATACAAATAGAAAATTGATGTGGATTTTCGTCGATTAGAGATATTGCTGAATCTGCTGGATCATTTTCACTGAGCACGGGTACATCAGCCGCATTGCCTAACTAAAATAGAAAAAATAAAACATTAATCTTGCAACAATTAAATATTTTGTTTTTGTCTCGTGAGGGATTCTGATCAAAAAATATTTACCCAAACATTACGAGAAATCTCGGTTGCCTCTGTTAATAATCTCATTTCCTCTCGCTCTTGGTCCAAAAAATTAATTTTATTACATAAAACCCCGTGACTATCTATTGCTACAAGATCTGGGAAATCTTTCTCAAACACAGTAAATGGATCTGTTATTGAGATTATGCACATTAGTTATATCAATTTGATCAAATTACACTTGATCTATAAATATATTGATCTGAAAGTCAATTTCAAGTCTATTGTATACTATATATTTGTGTTACCTATGATCACAAAGGTTTCATACTCTATTCCATTTGGTCTCTCTTCCCTCATCACTTGTTGAGCCCATGCTACTTGCTTTGCAATCTGTAAAACCTGATCATTTAGCCCGTGCTCACCATACACCACAATATCGGAAAGAGTGGCATATTTAGCAACTTGAATCTTAAAATTTCTTAAATTGATCACATCCTCCTCTTGTATATTTAAGAATCCTCTGATCGCATTTTCATTCGGAGGATTTAGAATATCACTTGGATAAACCGATCCTACTAACTGCGACTTTTGACTATCTTCTTCTGCTTGCACAATAGTCACCCCACGATGTTCGGGTACGTTACAGTTGTTTACATTGAAAAACATGTTCTGTTGGTGGTTGGTTCCGTCAACTCCATGCAGCCAAGGAAACAAAATGTCATTGGGTAATTGTGTGGTATAGTATGCCTCGATTATCATATAGTATTGTGAACTGGTGAGCGCTCTGATTGGCGGGTCTTCACACACGAGTGGGAAAACGTCGTATACAGAAGGGGAAGGTGAACGAGCAGCAAGAGGCGACGGAGGTAGATGTGTTGGTGGTGATAAAGGAGGTGTGAAGGGTGACGCAGAACTTTGTTCCACCGCTGCCATGATGCTAGAATAAGCAAAAATAATTTCGAATCAAGCACTAGTTTCTTTTTTGTTTTATCCGCTGGCAAAGTAAAGAGCTATTGAATGATGATGCGCGTCTAACGATGCGTATGTTTCGGTGTTCAACTGGTTAGATAAAATTAAGCTTTATTTAGCTTTTTGGATTTTTCGATTTTTCGATTTTTCGATTTTTATCGACCAAAAAGTAAATACAGGAGAAAAATTGCATTTCTCATGTTTTTTTGCTTTTTTTACATTACGTGAACGAATAACGTGATCGTTTTCTTTTGTGCCACTTTATGACTATAACGTGATCGTTTTAATTCCTAGAACGTACCGACAATTACAAAGAATTGATTGGGAGGTATAAACATTGCATCAATACAAAAAACAATCAATCATTATTAACCCACAGACATTACTTTGCATCAATGATGAAGTTAGTACATTATTATACATTATAATCAGCTTCTATGATCAGCCGGATAAAGGCATCCAGGATCTCCTACATTACTAAGGGGGTGGTTTATGCGGTAGAGATTGGTTTTTTTTCAATCACATGTCATCTTCTATCATTTAATAAACACTATATCGAGCAATTTACTATATCGAAGGAGATACACTATAAAAGAGAGTCACTGTGTACATGGTCAAATCTTTTTTATAATTATTTTCTTTACATGATAATTCTCTTTATAATGATCTTCTTTATAGTGAAGGCTAATTAAGCTCATAATATTCAAAACTTTCTTTAATAAAATCCCATAAATTTTCAAAAACTCTCAATAATGAATTTTTTTGATATAAAATCAATTATCTTTTTATAATTACAGAATAGATGAAATTTCAAAATTTCTCAATAAAATATAATAAAAATCGAATTTTGTTCTTTATTATTAAAATTATAATTTAATATATGGGCAGCTGTCAAGCAGATTATTCTAATTATCTGCATATATTTTATTTATAAAATTTTAAATTTTAAAATGGAAAGAAAATTTCAACTTTTATTATATTTTATTAAATAATTCCATTTCTTCTGTTATATTTATATTAATTTTAATAATAATTGTATCGTTATCATCATCGTCGATGCAAATAGCATTGTTTATAGAGAATCCATATATATTTCTTAGTTGTACCAAAGATATAGAAGAGATACGTCGTCCTTCTCTCATAAAATTTCCAAAAGAATTCTCTTGGGTTTACTTGCATGACTATTGCTGCTATTGTTCTCATGGACTTTTCTTTTTTGACATCGCTATTATTATCAAACAATTATTGTTCTTTGAATAGTTGATTTGGATTATTCGAGGCGTGGTTTTCGTCGTTAGCTGCTCTTGCTGCGAGTATATTATTTAACGAGTTGCCCTGAGTCTTTTACGTTCATGGAATAATGATCTTTCATTTGGATAATTATTGTTAATATTATTACTTGTATCCTTGTTGATATTATGATATTTTGACGCGAAATAATAAAAACATAAAGACCTTTGTACCCCTTGGCGTGTTCATGCTTAACGATAAAACTTTCCACCCTGTTCAATTTGCATTAACTACACTTCCACCGCAGTAACAACTTGGTATCCAGCAGTCATCGTTATGTTCAGATAGCTCTCAGAAAGAAAATCATCGGATCATTCACATCATCTTCATCAACATACTTGTGTTCTAAATATAATACCCTTCGACCGTCTGCTTCTTAATATTATACAATTAAGCGCGGCCGTCAAAATTCTTCGATTTCTAATACGAATCCTTGATGATTATCCGCTATTCATTTACTAGAGATAGCTTTAACGTTTAGTGGTGAATGTATCACCTTTTCACTTCTTT